CCTTTTGCCTCCAGGGCTTACACTTGGTTGTATCTCACAAGAGGCGACAGAACCCACCAGCCACAAGCCTGGGGCTCGGCTGAGAGTGAAGTCTGGGGATGGCTGCAGGAGGGGAGAGAAAGGAACGAAGCACACTCATGACTTAGCAATGTCGGGTAGAAAACAACCTTCTGCTGAGTAACATGGAAATAGATCTGAAACATATGGATTAAATTCCTCCAAAAACAAACATAATTTTTAAAGGAAAGGAAAAGTACTTAGCCACTATGTTTGAGGTTTTCCTGAACCCAAACCTTTGGAAAATTAGCATACGTGCGAATTACTCAGAGGCTGTAACACAGTCAGCTTTGAAATAGGTTCGTCATAAACCACCAGTTGGTTTTCACAACAACAAAAAAATGTTGTAACGGTTTGCCTAAGTCCATTCCCTGTCTCAGTCTTTTAAGGCTCATTCTTGTTGTTCTTTACAGGAAAAAGAACAGCTTTGCACGCCCACTGTCTGACCGTGGGGCCCTGGAGACCCAGGAATTTGGGTGGCTTTGGGAGATCAAGCTGGGAATAACAGCCACTCCCACCACACAGGAAGGACGAGAGCCCTGAGAAGAAGGCAGGTGAGTGATGCCCTGGACTAAGAGCTAAACAGACACCGAAGATATCATCGTGTACTAGCTCTGTGTCCTTGGGCATCAGTGTCTTCATCGCCACGTGCAGGGGAGCGGAGGGAAGAGGGCACGCAGCTGGTGAGCCGTGCAGTAGCCACTGCATCCAAGTAGACAGGTGAGGCTCACCACTGGCCACCCCCAGACAGTTCTGTGGGATCTAGGGACCCTGTGTTTTTGGTCATCTGTTCTAAGAGATCAGGACTGACCTAGAAGCCCAGCCTAAGTACAGCCCTAGGAAGCTAGGAGAAGCTGAATCCTCATGGTTTGGGAGTCAAGTCCATAGTTCAAGGCCATGGGGGCTGATGCCAAGTCCTCTGGACGTGAGGGCCTCTGGATAGTGGAAGCTGCTGATCACCAGCTGTCTGGCCTTCCCTGACACTGCCCAGTTCAACGGGCTGCTGGTCTGGCAAGCAGAACAAGCCCCAGGCCCATCCTGGAGGGAACCCTCAACCATTGCTTCCCTCCCTTGGAGTTTCTCATATACCCCGTGGAGTCCTTCCAGAGCAGGTGATGTTCCCTAAGTTCTCTAAACTGAACATGCCTTACTTTCATCACCACAACCCAGTTGTGCTGTGTCCTCAGAGCTGGCTCTGCACCCAGAAGGAGCACTTCACATTCCTTTCCAAGGACCAGGACCACCCGTCACTGAGAGGTGGGACTCCTTTTGGGCGTTGTCCTATTCAGAGGATCAATTTCCTCCTTTAGGACAGCTTTGTAAGAGGCACACAGGAGCCACAGTTGAAACTGGAACCTTCCGCCTCACCCTGGGCCAGTGGAACTTTTCCATTCTTACTCTTCTGGCCGACAGCCCCTTTTCAAAACTCACTCTCAAAAACATCCTGCCTTCAAATTTGGCCACTTTACGTTGATGAAAAGGGATGCAAGATCCTGGGCAGAATTTGTTGAATCTTATACTTTAGAAATATGCTTTTTTTTTCTTGCCAGCTTTTATAGAATCTGAAGTCTTGGAAGACTGGACAAAACTGATCGACAAAGTTGAAAATATAAAGCCCATTTCTACAAGAAGCTCACAGCTCTATTTGCCTCCACCGGTGGTCAGCTTCAGCTGGAGTTTTCTGAACCAGCACCTGCCACATGTCCTTTCCCATCAGAAGCACATGTACCCTATATTTGTTAGAATGTCACAAAGGGTAATTCTGGTATCTTTTCATTGAAAATTGTTGACACAAAAACCAGCAAGGCATCCCAGAATATTAAAAAGATATAGCAAGACAAACCATGATAAAGCTAAGATAACACTCTTCATACGACTGCCAAAAGCAGAAGGAAATGTTTCGGGACAGAAGTTTCCAAACTGTGCTCCATGGAACCCAGAGAGCTCTCTGGAATCCCCTGGGGTCCTCAAGACAAAAAAAAAAAAACCGCTCCCAGACACAACCACTTTTTATCTGGTTTATATATTGGATTTAGTAAGATTTTATGGAAAAAATTTATGGTTAAAGCAATTTTAAACAACTAGTCCAAGAGACCTACAGCTGCTCAGAAACACTTTCTCTTTGACCAGGTATAGCCCACAGTCTGGGCAGGTAAAAGAGCTTACACACCTGAGGCAGGTAAGGAGCTTTGTGCACCTGAGGGGTTGCAGAGGTGAGAGGTTAAGGGCGGTCTGTGTTTCTGGATCTTTCCCCATGGCTTCCTCTCTGTGTAGAATGTCTTCCAAACACCACTCCCCACGTTTGCCTCACCAGAAAATTCCTATAAACTCTTAATTCCAGACACACCTCTTCTCACATCTCTTCTCAAGGAAGCTTCCTGAGATGCCCTCTGCCTTTGCCTTCCCCCAGCAGGGCCCCTTGCCCACCGTTTCTCCTGACCCATGTGTCCCAGCCCCCAGTCACACTGCATGGCAACTGCTGACTCCGATGTCTGTTCCCCACTAAACCGTTAGCTCTGGAGGGCAGAGACCATTTATTCAGCTCTGCCTACCCAGTGGCTAACACAGGGCCTGCCTGGTAGAAGATGATCAAAACATTGGACTCAGTCTCTTCCCTGCTTCCCCACGTGGCAATAGGTGATAGGATGCAACTGTACCCCTGCATCTTGGGCTAATCAGGGTGCATCTCTGGTGCCCAGCTCATCCCCACAGGAATGCCACAGGGAGGACAGCTGAAGATGATAACTGAGCCTTAAATTTCATTTTCAGGTTCAAAAAAAAAAGTTGTGATCTTTACTGTCAAGTATACTTGTTTAAATGTAAACACACATTCTCAGTGTCTGGAACCAGAGTGAGATGAAGTTTCCTGAGTGATCTCTTAATACCACCAAAATTACATTCAAATGCCTCTGTCAGGCAGAGATAAATTGCCATTTGCACAATGGTCTTGCACTTAAAAGTAACTCAGTCCAGAGAGCTTTTGAAAATGTATTATGTCGGGGAAAAGGGGAAACTCAAAGGGGTTCAAGATATTTAGTCTATTGATAAGACAGCTTAGGAGCAACAATAATTATCTCCAAGAATTTGAAGGGTCGAATAAGGTCATTAGGAGGATGCAGGCCAGCTGGGTCCCATCTACTTGGACATCAGAAATGAACTTGAATTACACAAATAAGAGTGGAGTTAGCATCACAGAAGCTTGGCAATGATGGAGGCCCTGGCAACCCAAAGGGAGCTCCTTAGACCAGTGGCACCACCTGGGAGCTTGTTAGAAATGCAGATGCTCAAACCCCACCCCAGACCTGCCCAATCAGAACTTGCATTTTAACAAGCTCCCCTGTGATTTGCTGGCATATTCAAGTCTAAAAGGCACTGGTCACTGCAAATTTCCTCAGTCCTACAGGCTGCGTCCATGCCTTGTAGCCATGAAGTCTCAGGCCAGCAGCATGAACTCCTGACCCCAGAAAAAGCCCAACTGTGCATCAGGCTCCTAGAGAAGTCTGCAGTCCACCTGCCCCCCATGATGTCTAGAAACAGGAGAGGCAACAGCCTGGCACGAATACTTCTCATGCCAGCAGAACCAGCTTCTAGACGTGCCTTCCCTGTAACACGAAATGACTAATGGCTAAGCTCATCTATGGACAGCTGAGGGAAAGAAGCACTCAGAGTTTTCAAAAGCAGTTGTCTGGTCAAAGCACTTTAAACCCAAGTTATATCTATCATGTGGCTGTCCTTGCAGAAGATTCAAAGATAATGCCTCAGCAATTTCCCGACACAAGGAGCCAGAGTGTCCAGAGCTGGAGAGAGGAAGCCTGTTCGGAGTGAGTGCCAACTGGGGAGGCCAACTGCCGGTGCCCTCCAGGGCGCCCTCACCTGCAGGGAGTGGGAAGAGACGGATGAATTGAGATGCCTAGAGGCAAGCTGAGCCTAGAGGGGGGCCCTTGAAAATAACAGGGGTAGGGGAGAGCGGCAGCTCCTCTCCCTCCGGGTGGGGAAGTGTGTTTCCTGGCACCGAGGGAACTAAGCAGAAAGCAAATGTATATTTGATGACCTTTCTCTGCATGCAGCCTCCCTTCTGAAGAGCCAAGTTTGAACAAAACCTGGCACCAAAGCAGACGGAGGGAAAAGAAGGATTGGGGAACCTACCTGAGAGGTTAGGATGGCCCCTGGATGTGCAGATATGAATAAGTCATGACAACAGGCACCATAGTCCTATCCAATTTAACAAAATCCCCATGTGCCAGGCTCTTGGGAAAGGAGGTGCAAAGCCCAGCTGATCAGCCAGCAAAGCAGTAGAAAGGAACTCAGCACTACGAAGGCTCCCTCCGTACCCACTACCACCCTAACCTCCTACTAACCTGACCAGACACAAGAGAGTCAGAGTGTGACCACTGTTCAAAGGAAACTGAGTTGCCATCACACAATGATAAAAATCAAGCAAAAGGAGACAACTGATGCATTGCTCTGCTGAGATCAAACATTTGGGTACTTGCCATCATGTGGAAAGAGACATGGAGCCTAGATTGATCATAGATATGGGATCTCACGGACACAACTCATAAACAGAACTTTGTTCCTTTTTCGGAACCCAACCCACATGCTTGTACTTTTCTTTTGAGTTATAACTACAGATGCAAAATGCATTTATCCTATCAAGTTGTGCTGCTCTGCCAAATACCACAGAAGGTACTAAAAGGGGATTACTTAAGTGGTAGGTTTCAAAGGAGGCTGAGAGTAACTGAATTCACCCCTGTCATCCCACCAGCCTTCCCCACTGAATGACACTCTTGCCATTTGATCCATCTGTCCCAGCTACTCAGACACCGCTGCAACAGACAGAATGCCACAGGATCCTTGAAGAGCCCATTTCTCCCTCTCATGCCAGTTCCTCCCTCTTTGGTCCTGTATTCCCAAAGTGTGCTGTAGTTCAGCAGTTTTCCTACCAGAAAGTTGTGTGTGCTGGAAACTGGAACTGCGTGGGAGTCCAGAGAAGAGAGCTGGGACTTCAAGGTCACCCCCAGCCCATGTCTTCCTGCTCCATTCATATCACGGGTAGATGAAAGTCATAGAAAGACGCCCAGTATCTGTGGTCTGCATCCTTCAGCTCCACTCCTTTCAGGTGGAGGGAGCTAAGATGACTTCTGATCTACTAAGGAAAAAAAATATAAAAAAGCTAAGAGCCCCAGAATGTAAAACTGCCAGAAACATGCATAGACACCCTTTTTGTGGATGTAAAAATCATCTAAGATTGGACCCATTATAACTCCATTATTCAAACTTATGTATGTCACATATTAATGACTGCTACCAGACAGAATCCCAAAAGTGGAGCTGAAGAATCTTCAAATCCATCTGAGACCAAATAAGTAGCAATGCTCCAGGCAGAGACAGTGGGTGTCTTGGTCAAGGTCTCACAGACAAACAAGGCTCAAACATGAAGGAACATGCTTCCTTCCTGGTAACGACCACTCAGGGGTTTCCTAGATCAGATGCTGCCCCAGTGCAGAGACCCCTCATTTCATCCAGCAGGAATCCAGAAATGGGGCCCTGGAGGCCACTCCCCATCAATACCCAAGGGAATTTCAGGACAAGGAGGCCCTCTGGAAGTTCCTGCATTCTTCTGAGAGCAGGATTAGGAAGAATTGACCATCTCAACCAGAGGGCTGTGATAACATTTTGAAAATCACTTACTTTATCTTTCCTCCAACTGGTACGGGTGGGAAAAACAGACGCCCGATTTGTTTCACACAAAAATTCTTCCATTTGTCTTTGAATAAGATTTTTTTTCAGCATTGTGACCAACTCCAGCACTTTCATCAATTCCAACAACAAGCTCTCAAATGTGAATATAAAGTGGAGATGGAGTCCCTATCAAACAATCACTAGGTTAGGAGAGAGAGCAGAGGGCTGGCGAACGTAATTCAAAAGAATGGCACAACTATAACTGCTCACATTTTAAGAGCTTTCTCTGCGCTCAGCACTAGGATAAGTGCTTTACATTGTGCTACTTAATTCTCATTAGCTACTCTGCATGGCAGATTGTGCTGTCTCCCGTTTACAGACAAGGAAACACAGAGCTTAAGTGACTTTCAAGAAGTCACATATGCTGTCTCTTAAAAAAAAAAACCTTGATTGTTTTTACTCTCCACAGCCTTCGTCAGTCACAATCAGAAGCAGATCTTCTGAATTTCTTGCAATTTTAAAATGAAGGAAGATACATCCTTCTGCATAGGTGGAGATGACAAAAAGAAGCACCCCCGCCAATGTCAGTTCTTATCAGAGAAGGGAGATGTTTAATTTGCACAGATTAACCCCTACAGATTCTCCCTACTCTGTTTCCAAGCAACCAACTTGAAAAATCATCTATTGGGCAAAACAGGAGCCATTGGAAGCTTCTTTAAAGTGTTATAAACCTTGGAGGAAATGATTAGGATCAGAAAACAGCAGAGCTGCTTTTGCAAATGCATTCAAACACATTCTCTATAAACTTGTTTTATGTGATTCTTCTCCATTCTGTCACCATAACTGAAACTAATATAACTCCCCCCCCAGTACCACATTTACTAAATAATTTAATAAAATAGAACATGATCCTATGTCACGCACAGACAACAGTTTGTAGGGAGTTCCTAATTAGGTCTGGCATTAGCTCACGGCCTCGGTCGAATGCTCAGGCGTCACACAGTTATAACAACTGAGAGGGCCCCGTAGTGCTACAGAAAAGCCAGAGAAGCCCCCTGGGACACTAAACCGGAGGTCCTGTACAAAGCTCAGCTGCAGGCTGATCTAGGACTCAGCCATAAAACCACAGGCTCCCTTTATCCTCCTGAGTGGCGCACGCCGCCTCGGGACAGGATACCGAGGGCTCCCGCAGACTGGCGGTCCCTTTCCTCCTGCTCTGCGCCCCTACTCCCTGAGTCTGGGAGGAAAGTGCGCGGCTTCCCCAGGAGACCCAGGGCCAGAGACCCGGAGTGGAGGAAGCGGCTGGGAGCTGTCCATGGTGGCGCCGCGCCTGAGCACGCAGAGCCGCCGGCTCCCGCCCCCGGGCGCGCCCGGGATCACGCTCCAGACCGCCGGAATGGAGAGAGAGACTCGCTCCCGGGCTGCAGCCAGACCCTGGCTCACACATCAAAAGGTTAGTTTAAAAGGGGAATTCTCACCTGTGGGCAGCGTTGGCTGCACGGAGCAGGGCTCAGGACCTCAAACCCGGCTGCTGGCGGCGCGCCTGGGACGTCCGTAGTGTTGGACCCCTGGGGAACGGCGGCGGTCTCCGACAGTGCTGACAGCGAGTCTGTGGCGGAGGACTTCGGCGCACTGAGCTCCTTTCTCCAGAGCACATGCGTCCCGCCGGATCCATTGCAGAATGTCTCTGGCCCTGGTTCCCAGAGCGGAGAACTGGAGACCTGGCCACGGCCCTGGCCTGCGCTCCACCAGGTCCCTGCCTTTCATCCTAACCTAATTTGACCTATCTTGGAGCTGATGTCCCTTGTCAGGGACCACCGAAACCTCTTCCAGCGATGCCAGGTTTGGGATCTCAGCCTAAGCATCAGCAAGGGCTCTCGTGTCATCTAACATTCAATTGCCTCGGCTCGGTCCCGCGCCAGCGCGATGGTGGGTGCCTAGACCTGTCGGGGAGTGCGCGAGTGGGGAGGCAGCGGGAGGCGGAGGAGGAAACCAGAAGGAAGACCGTGCTGAGGCCCGAGCAGCGGGGCGCTGACCTGTTGCCAGGCGCACGCCCACTAGTGCACAGTGTGAGCCGGCTCCTCGTCGGCTGGACTCCGCGACCCGACCCTCGGAGCAGTTCCTCCTCAGCAAGACACTGCTCGGGGCGTAAGCCCCCCCGAGCCACTCAGAAAGGGGGAAACTACGAAAAACCGGGATCTGTCCTCCGTTGGATGCACTCCGGGGCCACTGGCGCCCCCGGCACCTGCCGCTTGCAAAAGATCACGCAATCTGAGAGAAATCCCACAGAGGAGAGTGACATGGGCGTGTGTCCATCAAAAGACGCGTGGACAGACAGACAGACGGACAGAGGCGGGCCGCACAGCACAGAGTGGACAAACAAACAGAAGCCAATGACCGGTAACGTTTTCCCTATCACCGGCGGAGGCGCCGGCCCCCCAGTTTCCCTCCCCTCTGAGGCTGGGCAGTCCGCGCAGCCCTGGCGCGCCGAGCCCGGCCCTCTTACCTCCCTGTCGGTAGCTGAGACAGTGCCACGCCTCGCGGTCCAGGAGCGCAGCGGCGGGAACAGTTGGG